GTCGTGGGGCCTGAACTCTGGGCCTGGGCACTGTCCCTCAGCTCTTCAGCTCAAGGCTAGCACTCTACCACTTGAGCTACAGCGCCACTTCCGGCTTTTTTCTTTTTTGCATATGTGGTGCTGAGGAATCGAACCCAGGGCCTCATGCATGCAAGGCAAGCGCTCTACCACTGAGCCACCTTCCCGGCCCGTCTTTCCATTTCTTGAAATAAGAGTGAACATTTAAAGTGAATTGAAGTTAATACTAAGTAACTCATCTAACTGAAAGCTACAAAAAGCAGAACATGTGATTTGTGTGTTCCTTAGTATAGTTGTCTTATGTCTCACTTCTGTTATTATTTTTAATAACACTCAGAAGAACTGGCCCTTCCAGATCAATTTTTTGGATACTAGCATGTTCACTGAGAGACACCACTTACTTAGGCTTCATTCTTACAGTTTGAGAAATATTCTCTGAACCTTCTGAGGTCTCCCACTAGGTCGTTGTGTTTTGGGTACTCAAATTGCTTAATTTGACATTTTATACCTAGATCATGAGAGAAATTGATGCTGGCCACTGAGGACTGAAGCCTCAGGAGGCTTTCCCAGGTGAGGTCTAACTGTTTTCCTTGTGTCTCAGGGAGGACAGACAGCCTGTGGACAAAGGGAGTGACATGATTCTGGCGTCCACCTTCTCCACGTCTGGCAGCTATTTTGCTTTAACTGATGACAGTAAGCGTCTGATTCTTTTCCGTACAAAACCATGGCAATGTCTGAGTGTCAGGTATGAAATGCTCACACTGAATCATTAAGATGTCACATACACCCCTTGTACCTGCATGTCAGTAGTAGTAGTGACAGTAACCGTAGTAATAAACCACTCATGTGGAGTACCAGCTACAGTTCCGATACTGCTTTAGCACGTTGGTGTATGAACCAATTTCCAGTAGACTAAGGCAGCTTCTCTTGGCCAACGTCCCATGTCTGCTGCGCTGGTCTTCTTTACACACAGTGCTCCTCTAGTCCCACGGCTGGCAGGAGCAGGGCCATCAGCCTGCGTTCCTCAGAAATGAGGGAGCCCATGTGGCTGGGTAGGAAGTGGGTAGGTGGAGGGTGAGGTGGGTGTTGGGATGGGTTGGCCTCGCCTTCCTCCCACCCAGCACAGTTTAGTAAACTCTGTTCAGGCCGCCTCCACCACATCTCGGGGAAGCCTACATTTTGTGACTCTTTGTCTCTGGAGCTGGTGCCTTGGTGCCCCCATGGTCTTGTCAGGTGGTGTCACTGGCGCATTATGCTGGCTGGGCTCTTTAAGTTCCCCAGTATGATTTGGTGTTCTGTGGTCCTCCTCTCCCTCCTGCTCTTCTCAGAAGCAGGAGCTTGGTGCTGTCCTCACTGATGTCCTCTGTTACCAGGGCTGTGCGGGGTGGGGTGGTGCTGCTCACCTGCACTCATGGAGGTGAGGGCCAAGCACCCTGTGGGTGGGGAGGGTTGGAGATAGGGACTCTTGTTTCCAGTTGTGGCCCAGAGCATGTGCAGTATTAGAGTTTATCCTTGTCTTTCAAGGACACAGTAGTCATGAATGGCTCCCCAACATTTCCTGAACATGCAGCAAGGATGAGAAGATTTTGAGGGACGGATGGACGGGCCTGCCTGCCAGCCTGCCTGCCTTCCTTCCTTCTTTCCCACTTCCTTCCCTCCTTCCCTCCCTCTTTTTCGCCCTCCCTCCCTCCCTCCTTCCCTTCTCATTTTCCTTCCTTCCCTCCCCTTTCCCAACTTCCCTCCCTTCTTCCCTCCCTCCCTTCCTTCCTCCTCCCTCTTTCCTTCCTTCCATCTTCCCCTCTTCCTTCCCTCTCCTTTCTTCCTCCTTTTTAAAAAAATCAGTTCTCTTTCTTTCTCCCTCCCTTTCTTCCTTTTCCCTCCTTTCCCTTCCTTTTTTTTTTTTTTTTCACCTTCATCTCTGGTTTGGAATTTAAGCCTCTTTTTTTTTTTGGTCGGTCATGGGCTGAACTCGGGCCTGGGCACTGTCTCTGAGCTCTTTTGCTCAAGGCTAGCACTCTACCACTTGAGTCACAGTGCCATTCCTGGTTTTCTGGTGGTTAATTGGAGATAAGAGTCTCCTGGACTTTCCTGCCTGGGCTGGCTTTGAACTGCAAGCCTCCTGAGTGAGCTAGGATTACAGGCATTAGCCTGAAGCACTTCTTGCCTCAGCCTTCTGAGTGCTGGGATGCATCACTGTATCTGGCTTGAACAGTCTCATTTCCCTCCCCAGTTCTGGGGCTTGAACTCAGATCCTAGGCACTGTCTCAGCTTCTTTTGCTCAAGGCTAGTGCTCTACCACTTGAGCCACAGTTCCACTTCCAGCCTTTTGAGAGATTAATTGTCCATAAGAGTATCATTGTAGATAAGAGTCTCCTGACTGGGCTGGCTTTAATATGATCCTCAGATTTCAGCCAGTGGATAGTTCTCTTATGAAAAACTGTCTACAAGCCAAATTGGTCTCAAGTGTTGTCTTTGAGTGGGGTGCATGGCAAGACCTGACCTGGGCCCTCAGAGCGCTGAGTTCCTGAGCACAGGTGGAGAATGAGTTAGCTCTGTCAGTTATGCCTGCCTGTGTCCAGGTCACCTGCTAGCCAGTAGCAGGGCAGTCACATGGCGCCGGCCATGTGTGATGAGCGCAGATACCGTGTGTTGCTCGTTGAACATGTCTTGAAGCAGAAGCCTGGGGAGCGGCTCCTCCCCCATTGTAAGCCACACTGTTGTCTGAGGCCCAAAGGTCCGTGGGAACTCTGTTCTGACTGGGGCGCTCTTTGGCCCTCAGGGCTGTGGTGAGGAGGTGCACGGCGCTCACCTTCACGGCCTCCGAGGAGCGGGTCTTGGTAGCCGACAAGTCTGGAGACGTCTACTCCTTCTCGGTGCTGGAGCCCGAGGGACCAGGCAGGCTAGAGCTCGGGCACCTGTCCATGCTGCTGGACGTGGTATGTAGCAGCCACCTCGAGTCGCTGTCTTGGGCGAGGTTTCGGCAGGCAGGGCTGGGAGTTCAAGGGGAGTACGCAGGGCAGACTGAGGAGTGAGCATGGCAGTGCAAAGAAGACAGGGCGGTGTGCGGGAGCGTGGCTCTGTGCGTGAAGGGGCCGGCCAGGGGCTGCAGTGGCAGAGTCCTACCTGCACTTCTTCCCAGAGCTGTGCACGTGCTCACTGTGTGCCATGAGCTCTGTGCCCTCAACTTTGCTCCTCCCAGGACCTAGCTTCTCCCAGGATGTCCCAGCCGGTGGGGCCCAGAAGCCCTTGAGGGCTAGAGCAGCCCGTGGTATAGCCGGGACGGCCTGACAGGCAGTGGGGTAGGGGTGGGTCCCCCCCTTCCAGTCTCTAGCCTTGCCTTGGCTGTGGACTTCGGTTCCCAGCAGACAGCCTCAGAGGCGGCCTTCCTTGGGGGATGGGGGGGGGGCGGAGGAGAGGGCAGCGCAGGTGCCATGCCAGTGGGAGGCCAGTGAGTGAATGGCTTTCTCTTCTGATCCCTGGTGACGCAGGCCGTGAGTCCTGATGACCGCTTCGTGCTCACTGCAGATCGTGATGAGAAGATCCGCGTCAGCTGGGCAGCCGCGCCGCACAGCATTGAGGCCTTCTGCCTGGGGCACACGGAGTGAGTGCTGCCTCCTCTGCCAGTGGTGGCAGACCAGCCGGGGCTGTGCGCGGAGCCTGGCCCGTCCTCCACCGGCCCTGCGGGCTGCATCAGAGCCTCCTGACCTCTGGGGCTCACTTGATGTGGCAGCCTGGCGTTCAGCACTGTGGCAGGGCACACGCACCTGGGCAGCGGGCTGTGCTCCCGTGGACTCTTCACCCCCATTTCATTGTGGTTTCTGGAAAGCTTTCCCAGTGTCAGGACCTGGTGAACACCGGCAATCCTGGCAGTGAGGAGGGAAGCGGCAGATGCTGCGGCCTCCTGCCACACCATCCGTGGCCTCCCAGGTGCCGCCTGCGGGGAGGGGCTCAGTGGACTTCCACGCAGTGGCGGAGGCGTTTCTGAAGAGGCCACTCTCCCAGCAGTTTGCATAGGAAAGCACAGTTTTGTTGCTTGGATTGCTTTAAGAAATCCAGAATTTGAGGCAGTGGAAACAGTTGGAGGTTTTAGTTCAGTTTTGAGATTGCTCCTATTTTCCACTTGGGTAACTGCGGAACTGGACCTCCAAAAGGCTGGTGGTCACTCTTTGCACCTCATGATAGCTTGGACTTGGATGTCGCTGTCCTCTAAGCCGGTGCTGAGTGTCAGTGACGCCGGCCTCAGCCCTGTCCCCAGTGTGTCTGGGTGGTTGGAGGCTTTGCGGTCATCTGCAGGTGGAGCTGAGCTGCCACTTCCTGCCTGGCAAGGTTTCCCTCTGTGAAGGGTTGTGTGTTGGGGACCCAGAAGTGTGTACTCCCTTCCCCTACACCTCCCGCATGCTGTCCCAGCCTGCCTGGCCCATGTAGGCCATCACCTTCTGATATTGGCATTTTCCCAAGTATTGGCCCTTTTTTTGGCGGGGAGGGGTGAGTCCGGTCATGGGGCCTGAACTCTGGGCCTCGGTGCTTTCCCTCAGCTCTTCAGCTCAAGGCTAGCGCGCTACCACTTGAGCCACAGCGCCACTTCCGGCTTTTTCCGCTTCTGTGGTGCTAAGGAATCGAACCCAGGGCCTCATGCATGCTAGGCAAGCGCTCTACCACTGAGCCAACTGGAGCTGTGACCCGCCTTGTCTCCATGCAGGTTTGTGAGCCGCATCTTTGTGGTGCCCGGTCACCCCGAGTTGCTCCTGTCCTCCTCTGGGGTAAGTGCTCTGCTAGTGCAGGAAGGCTGTGTGAAGATGGCTGTTGTTTCCAGCTTGGCTTTGGGACACAAGTGCCTGCTACCGGGTGGTGCCCCATACATGCCTGGCCCCACACCCCAAGTGTGGACTTTAGCTTCCAGTCTGGCCATTTAGGTGATTTTTGGGGGGGGGGTCCAGTCGTGGGGCCTGAACTCTGGGCCTGGGCACTGTCCCTCAGCTCTTCAGCTCAAGGCTAGTGTTCTACCACTTGAGCCACAGCGCCACTTCCGGCTTTTTCCGCTTATGTGGTGCTGAGGAATCGAACCCAGGGCCTCAGGCATGCAAGGCAAGCGCTCTACCACTGAGCCACCTTCCCAGCCCCAGGCGGTTTGTTTTTCTTGATGACCTGCTCTGTCTTCACAGAGGGCTTTGTGCAGCCCGTGTCTTCCACCCGTGCTTAGGCGTGTGACCCTTGGGAGCTTTCCTGCGTCTGGGCACCCTGTGCTAACCTGTGTGTCATCTGTGTGCGCAGGACGGTACCTTGCGGCTGTGGGAGTACAGGAGTGGCCTCCAGCTCCATTGCTGCGACCTGGCTAGCCTGCGGGCGCCGGCGGAATCCAAGGACCACAAGGTAGCTGTGTGCTCACTTAAAAGTGTTAGCTGCCTACAGCCTCTTGCAGTCAGCTGGGTTGTGGGCCTTGCTATTAATGGCATACTTTTTCCCACTCGGAGAAGAAGTGTCAGTCCATGTTTCCAGAATTATGTGATCCAAACAGCTAGTCACACTCACAATTGGAAAGTAGTGGTTCTTGGGAAAGACCCTGGCCTGCTCATCCTGAGTGGCTGGGATGAGGCCAGCTGGCACTCCCTGTCCATCCTGCTGCGCCTCGCAGCCTGAGCATTGGTTAGGTCCCCACAGGCTGGTGTGTTTCATGAGAACTGGGTGTTAGAACTTCTGCCCTCTACCAGGCCAGCCTGGAGCAGCAGGACTTTTCCTCCAGTTTCCTAAGACTTCTAAAAGCTTCTTTCATTAAAAAAAAAAAATTTTTTTTACGTTTTTGTACAAAGAGGTTTCAATTCAACAAGTCAGATTAGGAGTACCGTGTATCTTGATTGGTATCACACCCTTTCCATCACCCCATTTTTTATTTTTTTGCTCAAGGCTATTGCTCTATCAGCTGAGCCACAGAGAGTCTCAGACTTTTCTGTCCAGTATGGCTTTGGAATTTAATCCTCAGATCTCAGCCTCTTGAGCATAATCCACCAGTGCCCTCCCCCCCTTCAGGAGCTCCAAGTACCCTGGGCTAGCCACGAACTTGCTATTCTTGCCTTAGCCTCCCAAATGCTAAGGCTATAGACATGAGCCACCACGCCTGACTTTGTTTTAACATTTCCTGCTGGGGAAGCATGGCTGTGCGCATGGTGTTCCTGTCTGGTAGAAATCCCTCTGTTTTCCTCCTGTCTGGTGCATGCATTGGGCGGGCCAGGGAGGGCCGTGGATAGCTCTGCCGCCCTGCCACCCGCCCACCCACCCACCCACATCCGCCCAGCAGTGCTGTGAGGATGTTTTCACACCCGCCTTGCCCTGGGCAGCATGTGGGAGCAGTGGTGCTGAGCCCTGCTCTGATGGCGGTCTGTAGGGTGGGGTTCAGGGTGGGGTTCAGCTGCTTTTCCTTGCAGGGCCTTGCTGCGTCCAGGATTACATTCTGGGGCCAGGAGAGCTGCGTGGCAGTGCTGTGTGACTGGTAAGCCGGGCCGCCACCTCTCTGTCCTGGAGGGAAGGCAGGCATGGAGAGCGAGTGCCGTGGGGCAGCCCCTCCCTGGTGTGAGGGCAGTGGGTCCCTTGTGTGGTGCCCACGCCCGCCATCTTGCCATCTTGAAGGGTGGCAGCTCATCCTGAGCTTCCGTGCCTGGCAGTTCAGTCCCTCTCAGCCCACGAGAGCTGAGGTAGCACAGGGCGGGTGCAGGGTGCTGTGCTGTGCTGCACAGCAGGCATTTCCTGAGCATGTGTTCTTCCTTGGCCAGGCAGGTCTCGTTTCTCCGTGCTCTGCATTTTGTGCTCTGATGGCCTGGGCAGCAGTCCCGGCTGTCTTAGAATTGAGGGCACAGGTTTGCAGAGGAGAGAAGGAAGTGCTTTTTCACTCCTGTCCATGACACCCTCTCTTACTCTCTGTCCTGCACTGGCCATCTGTTGCTGCATAACAAGTTAACCCAGAGTTCAGACTGCAGAGCCCCCTCCCCACAGGGGCTTGGGAAGCTTGTGGCCTCTGGCGTGTGCGGAGGCTGCAGTGTGGGCTGTGGGCCGGGTCGGCGTGTGCAGGCCGCCGTCCAGGCCTGAGGTCCTGATCGCAGCTGTTCCTCTCTTGGGAAGCGTTCCTGCCGTGTTCATCTTCCAGCTCGACGCTGACACGCAGCAGCTAGTATTCAGACAGCAGCTCAGCTTCCCCCAGCGGGTGTGGGACGTCGTGTTCGAGGATGGCCGGGGGCTGTGGGTTTTGCAGGACTGCCGTGAGGCCCCCCTGGTGCTCTGGAGGCCTGTGGATGGCCGGTGGCAGGTGAGGTTCCACCGCACGCGCATGTGTCCATGTTGAGCTGCTGTCTTGCCTTTCGCCACTGTCCTGAGCCCCTCCAGCCTCACCTGGGTCGCAGGGCCTTTCCTGATGGACCACAGCAGCGGCCTGGCGTGGGAAGGGACCTGGGAGCTGGCCAGCTTGTCCCTGCCGTGCTTCGGGCATTTCTTGACGGTCCCCCCCCATCCCACCTTCCTCTGTAGTGGTGAAGCTGGCCCTGAGCGTGGCATTGGGGCCCTGGAGGAGGACAGGGAGGAGCTGTGGACCGCAGCCTCCCTTCTGCAGTGGTGGGCAAGCCTGGCCCGCGGAAGCTGTCTCCCGAGTCGGGCTGGGTGCAGGGCGGGTACACCGGGACGTTCTCTGCCTCCTGGGCTGCGGTGCGGCGGCTGCGCCGAGAGGCCACTGAGGCTCCAGGCCACGTCCTGGTGTGGTGCTCCCAGCCTCCATCCGGGCTCTTTGTCTTCTCCAGCCTGTCTGTGAAAGCCCCGTGTCCCAGAGGCTCTCCAGCCGGCTCCGCGGGGACTGGGCCATGTTGGAAGGTGAGCGGGTGCCCAGGGGGGGCAGGGCCGTCCCTGTGTGGGGAGGATCCTTGGCTGAGGGACCTGAACTCTGAACGGGAGCCGCTTGCTCCAGCCCCGCGGGGCCCCCGCCCGCCCGTGCTCCCAGCAGCGCAGCTGCTCGGCTTCGTGGGTCAGGGTGTGGCAGCTGGAGAGGTCCGGGGAGGGGCCCGACCCCGTCGCTCTCGCAGGAGCGCTGGGGTCCGGGGTTCTGGGCCCAGCTCGAGCTGTGGCTGTGGCTGTGGGGCCAGCCGCCTCTCCTTCCCGCCACAGGCTCCGTGAGTGCGGAGGATAGCTTCCGCAGCCTCTACAAGGCCACCTTCGACAACATGGCCTCCTACCTGAGGAAGAAGGGGGAGAGGCTGCAGCAGCAGCGGGGGAGGAAGCGGCCGCAGAGCCCTCCGCCGGGGCCCAGCAAGAGGGCCCGGCCGGGCCCGCAGCCCTGACCCGCGGACCTCGCCCACAGCCCCCTCCCCCCGCCCGCGGCCACTCATCAGGAACGGGGCGCAGATAGGTCTCCAGCAGCTCGGCACAGCACAACCCCTCTCCAGACTCCAGAACGTTCTGCCTTGCTGGATACAGCACTTGTCTGGCATCTTTTCACTAGTTCTGGTATGGAAAGCGCTGTGAGCGCTTTGTGCTCACGCCGCAGGCACCGGGTGCAGAGGCCCGTCCCCCCTGCCCCAGTTCCCCCTGCGCGGGACCTGCTGCAGGGGTGTGAGGAGGCCCCCTGCCGGCCTTGGCCTCCAGGGTGGTGACTGATGTGGAGCAGGTCACCGGTGGTGGCTCCGTGCACACTGCAAGGTGTCATTGGGAGCTAATCATGATCAGTAAAGATGGGCTTTGTGCAGCTTCGGGAACGGCCAGTGGCAACACCAGAAGCTCGTCTCCATGCTTAGAGGTGTGCTGTTCCAGAGAAAGGGTGGCTGCTGTTGGGAAGGTCCTCGGCCTGTGATGGGCCCACACTGGTTTGTTTTTTGGGCCAGTGCTGGGGCTTGCACTCTGGGACTAGGTGCAGTCCTAGGCTAGTGCATTAGGACTTTTCTGCCTTGAACCGAGCGATCCTCAGATCTCAGTCTCCTGAGTAGCTAGGATGGCAGGTGTGAGCCACCGGTGCCCGGCTCACACTGGCTCCTGGGTGATTCTGTGCACCGCTGTGTGCTCTGGCAATGACTTGCCTACCAGAAACAGTCCTGCCGCCCTAGCAGCTTCGCTGCTTCTGCTTTCCCCAAGTGCCTTGCCTTCCTGCCACTGTTGGTCTGAGCACAGTGCTGTGTGGGAGGGGACTCTCGCCTCTGGGGCAGCAAGACCTCCAGCATGGGAGGCTCAACACGGGGACTGTGCCCCTCCAGAACCAGTCTTGGCTGTGGTGTGAGCCCTGGCCTCCCCAGAAAAACAGGCTGGTGAATTTCTTTGTAGAAATCTGTGCTTCCTCTATTACTCTCTCCCTTCCTCATCAGACTGGTGGGTTCTCTGGCAGGCCAGGCTGAGCTCTCCCACAGCCCTGGGCCCAGTGCAGAGCCCAGGCTCGGGTGCCGCTCAGCTCCCCGGTGCGTGCTTTCACTTGTGTTCTGGCACTACACTAGCACAGGGCTTGTTCTCAGGAGCTCTAGCTCAGCCTGTTTGCTCATGGTTGACACTCTACTACTCTAGTGCTTGAACCCTGCTTCCAGTGGGCATTTTGCTGGCCAGCTGGCGATGGAGACTTCCAAATGTTTCTGCCTAGGCTAGATTGGCGCCTCGATCCTCTAGGTCTTGGATGACCAGGCTGCTGTGCACATGTGACAGGCCCAGCACCATCGAGCGGCTGACAGTCCCCAGGGTCCACCCTGCCAACTCCTGTAGGCCCTACCCCGTCCCCATCCCCAGAGACGCCCACCTGTGTGCAGGTTGCCACTGGTGACACGCACTTGCACGCGTGAAGCCTCCACTGATTCAGTTGGTGCTCTTTGCTCCTGGGCACGCAGGTTCTGGGGCGTGGGGGGCGTCGGTGGGCATGGAGCGGAGAAGTGTGTGCTGCCGCCTCGCCCCCGGTTCTGTACATTGTGACCACTGCAGCGGCTCCTCCGCTTCCCCAGCGGCTTCTGGACCTCAGCCAGCACTCTGCTGGTTCTGCCCACCGCAACGTCCCTCCACACCGCCTGGGCACCTGGGCCACACACGCAGCTCTGTTCTTGCTGGACGTATGTCATACTTGCTCATGTACCCACCGTCCCCAGCACTTCCAGTAGGTGTGATGAGACCTGGACCAACAGGTGAGGGATTTACACTTTTCGTGGTTTTTTATTGTAAGAGAACAGTACAGAGGGGTTACAGTTACATGAGCAAGGTAATGAGAACATTGTTGCCTCCTGTTTTTTCCCCTACCATCCCTTCCCTCCAACTTCTACAACTGCCCCTCCCCCCAAGTTGTAAAGTTCATTTTCAGCATAGTGTTTTGTACTTTTTTTTTTGTCTTGTGAGGCTTGAACTCTGGGCCTAGGCGCTGTCCCTCAGCTCTTCACCTCAAGGCACTCTACCGCTTGAGCCACAGCACCACTTCTGGTTTTCTGGTGGTTTATTGGAGATAAGAGTCTCACGGACTTTCCTGCCTGGGCTGGCTTTGAACTGTGATCCTCAGATCTCTGCCTCCTGAGCAGCTAGGATGACAGGTGTGAGCCACCGGCGCCCGGCTAGTTTTTTTTATTTTTTGGGGGGGGGGGTCTGTTGTGGGGCTTGAACTCTGGGCCTGGGTGCTGTTCATCATTTCAAGACTAGCACTCTACCACTTGAGCCACAGCGGTACTTCTGGCTTTTTCTGCTTATGTGGTGCTGAGGAATTGAACCAAGGGCCTTATGCATGCGAGGCAAGCATCTGCCACTGAGCCACCTTCCCAGCCCTGGGCCTACAGGTTTTAACCTCAGCAGCAATGTGCATTCTTTGTATTACAGCGTTGTCCCTGTCCCCGTGTCTCGGTCTCTGATGGCAAAGCAGGTTCACCTGTCATCTGGTCACCTGTTGGGGTATTTGGCTCGTGTGTATTCCCCTTTTTTTCTTTTCCATCCTTTTACTGTCTGTATATTTTGCTTTGGGGAACATCCAATGTATTTTTTTCTTTGTTTTGATTAAAAACATCTGGCCATTCAGTTCTTGTGGTTTAGCTTTTCATTTTGGCTGCGGTGTGTGGAAGGTGCGTGTAAGATGAGGGGCCGCCTCTAACCCCCGCCCCTGCCGAGGGGGAGGCAGGAGGATGGAGAGTTAGAGGCCATCCTGGGCAAGGTTAGCAGGACCCTATTTCAAAGCAAATACTGGAAGGCCGGGGGCGGGGCTGGAGTGGCGGAGCTCCCGCCTGGTGAGGCCCTCCGTCCAGTGGCCCTGCCGCAGGAAAGCGTGAGCTGTGCAGACTGCGATCTCGCCAGCCGTGGGACCAGCCGTGGCTGCTGAGGACCCCCAGGACCCCTCCCAGCCCGATGGCAAGGGTGACCCCTCCTTCTCTGCCGCCCTGCCCAGCCCCAAGCCCCACCATGTCTCACCGGGAGCCTTCAATCCACGGGTGCGCTGAAGCCCCGGCTGTGAGCCGTTGGGGACCACCCAGTGACAGCACAGGACACGTTTCTGGGCCACACATGCTATCGTCCACCCTGTCCTCAGGAGAGTGGTTCCTGCGCAACGTGGGTGCCGGGCACACACAGCCTGTGCCATCTCCATATACTCTAAACCACCGCTGTGTCCCCTCCCCCAGACGGCGGCCATGCCACGCTAGGGGCTGCCGCACCGGGCTTGGGGAAAAACTGTGTTCATATGCATGGCTTCTTTCCAGTTTGGCCTGTGTTAGTTGTGTCTGGATGAGAATCCTGTGGCTGCTGAGGGCTGACCACTCAGGATTGGCATTGCTGGGCCTCGTTAAGTACCATCTTGACAGCGGTCGGACTTCAGTAGACCTTCCTGTGCAGTGTTGAGGTTGGAAAGGTCCGCAGGGTGTCATTGGATTTGGGCCTAACATGTGGAGTCATCCAGCATCTAGGCAGGCACATGGAGCCTGCAAAGCCTAATGTGCCAGGAGTTAGAGCCCTTGTCAGCCACTGGCCAGCAGGGGGCGCGGGCGGGAAGTGAGCCTGCTTGGTTCCCACCTGCGTTCCATCAGGTGGCATCCTGGATGGCTGGTTCTAATTTCCCTGTGATTTCCTTGAATCAGAGGTTACTCGGGGGCGTGGTTGAACAGCCATTTAGAGTTTTTTCCCCAGACTTCCTCTGTTAACTGATTTCTGGCTCAATTGGACTGAGGTCTCAGAATCCACCCTGTTTTTGTTTTTAATTTGCTATGGGCCTGCTCGTCGGCTGTGGTGTCTGTGAGCCTGGCCTGGTGTGAGTGAAGAACACCGTCAGCTGCTTCACTTTTGTTTACACTCATCTTTGGTCACTGCAGTATTTAAGTGTCTAGCCCTAGCTGTGGCTTGGGTAACCTTCCGTTGTCTTAGCTTTCTGTGTTTTAGACCCTGATGAGGTGCACGTGCCCTTAGCGGGTCACTGCTTCTCAGTCACTGGGAGCCACGCCCCCTCCTCCCTTTGTTCTTTGTTCTGAAGTATTACCTGAAATTAAGGAACTACTCTACTCCATCGTTGCTTTGATTGCTGTGGCCTGTTGTGCATGTGTGTGCTGTGTGCGTTGCTTTGATTGCTGTGGCCTGTTGTACATGTGTGTGCTGTGTGCGTTGCTTTGATTGCTGTGGCCTGTTGTGCATGTGTGTGCTGTGTG